GATGGTTGTCCTTGTTCGGGATCGCAAATAAAGAGGAAACAGTTTACTAGAAACTGCATATTATGCTGGAGAGTGGAATCAGATTGGCTGTTCCTGTCGGTAAGAAGATGTACCTCTCAGACTATTTATTGTTACCATACTGTTTGTTATATTTTTTCTTTGCTGCTAAGGGAAATAAAGAAAGAGTGCAGCATAAGTCTCGCCTCCGTAAATATTGACTTTACGTCATGTTAATAGTAAAATATGTGAGTTTGTCTTTATTTTAAATATCATTTGAAAGGTTTGAGTTTTTGGAGACCCAATAGTAAAATTGTTATGACTCATTCTGGGCTTGTGGTGTAAATAGCTTTGACTTTGAAGTAGTTAACATTTGAGCATTCCATGCTATATATATGTGATACTGAGTGTGGCTATTTTGAAACATAATTAATTATCATTCAATTAGGTTCAGGATAACTGTTATTGCTAGAAGAGGAAGCATGTCAAATCAAATAGGTGTTCAGTCTTCACTTTGATCATATTAACTGAACATGTAGGATTATCTAGTACTTTACATGACATTATTCAATAAATAGATCTTAATTTACATTATTGATATTCTGTAAACTTGTACAACATTTGCCAGTAATTATATACAAATGAATTACCTTGTTATTTATGGATCAATAGTAAAATAGCTTCAATCTTTTATCTTTAGAAAATGATGGCCACCCACCTCTTTAATTTGAATCATCAACAGAAAAAAAAGAAAAAGAAATAGATGGTGTTTTGATGTAAAGAACGAATATGCTAATGTAGTGTCCAATTATATCTAAAAAATGTCATGCGGTGTGAATCTTACATGACCATAAACTCTTTGGAAATTAACCCATACATTAGATAATTAGACAGACAATCATAAGTGTAGAACACACTTGCCACAACCTAGCAAAGCATTTAATTCTAATACATTTCACAAACCTCAGTACTGTGGGTTTGTATGTCCTTTTCTGGTTTGCCCATTGTTACTGGTAGTTATAAGGAACAGCAACCTATGTGACATTAATGACATTCACATTCTCCAGGGACTCATTGTTGAAGAAGAAAAAAAATATATATTAATTGGCTGCTTTTTAAATTTTTCATTTAAGGGTCTGTTTCCCTGTAGATCTCCACTGGAGAAGGTGTTGTGTCAAAGTCTATTACCTTGCGTCCAACCTATCCCTTAAGTTACAAAAAAAAAATGGAACCATCAGCAGAGCTTTGAGAGGTCGATAAAGCTTTTAGATTTGGAGATGTTTTCAGGGAGGCCATTTCCTGCGGCTAAGAGTTGTTAATGGAGCTTAAGGAATTATCTTATGACTCTGACTGTGAGAGCAGTTTATTTCGCTGCTCCTGTTCCCTTGTCGAAGCTGAATATGCTGCTGTCAAACTCGCTTAATGAAAAGTAACGCGTCGCTGATTACAGTTTTATTTGGGCTCTATGTAAAAAGCGCTGTTAATTTAGCATCTCCTCCTTTGTGTGTTTGAATTTGCCATGGGTGAATGATTAAGAGTCTCTCAGTTTCAAGCTCTGTCTTTTAGCCCCCCTGCCTCCCCACCTTTCCTATTCTTACTCTTTATTCAACTCTCTGTGTATATTAGGCTCAGCAGTAGTATGCCAACTTTGTGTATACATGCTGCACTTTAACCCCTTAAGGACAAATGACGGAAATATTCTGTCATGATTCCCTTTTATTCCAGACGTTGTATCCTTAAGGGGTTAAAATAATCACTGTGTTTTGTGTATATGCACAGTGCTCTTAATGCTTTGTTGCCTGTGATACTCTCCAGCTCTGTGGTTCTAACTCTTATTCATACTCAATTCATCAACTTTATGTGTGTGTGCTGCATTCTGCAATTCTACAACAATTAGGGGCATATGTCCTGTGTCTTGCAAGAATATATATGTTCTGCAGTGATATATTAACTGTGCTATGCTCCACTGGATGTATTCTATTGTACTATCTGTAGAATATGATGATGCTAAGTAAGTGCAATTATTTACTATCTTTATTATTATTATGCTTCTATATCTTGTATAAGATATATGATAATTTTACTGTGTATATATATTTGGTATATGGTGCAAATCCCAATGGCTCACATAACTTTTTTATATATGTCCTTGCTGTTTATACTTGTTTATACAACGATGTTGCTGAATAAATCAACACTGACTATCTACGAAGTGAACAAAATAATCCCCCAATAGGATATAACATTTTAACAATTTCTGACTAAGACCCCAAATAACTAGGAAACTCTTTTTCTGGCAAGAATTGCCATTTGTTTCCTTACTGGTGAAATAATTGTCTTTGACATTATTAAGCAGGGGGACAGCCCATTTACTGATCCCAGCATTCCATGGTGAGGTGCGGGTATTGTAATTAGCCGGGTTCCAAAGACCCTATATTGGGGAGGAGGGGGCTTGGTTTAGGTTCACACTGCTATGGTGAAGAGAATGATATATCTCTCCCGATATTGTTTTTGAATTCACCCACCTCCACCCATTATGCATTGCTGTGAGGGATGAGAGAGTGCCTTCCTAGTTGTTGGTCTTAAATTACTATTTTGCCTGGATTTGTTTTATCACACGAGATTCTTCCAATCAAACTTGCACATAAAACATAATCGTTGCTTTTTTTAGCGATCACCCTAACTGCAATTTCTAATCTAAATCTGATATTTCTCCTATATTTTTTTGTTACTTGTAAATAAATACAAGTTCTACTGAATAATCCAGTATGTTTGTGAATGTGTCTAGTAAACACGTGCATCTGATATAATAACCCTTTATTCGGTAAGAGAATATATGTGAATTCGGGAGCTATTGTGTAAAAACCTGTGTTTCAAAGAGTAATCAATAATTAATTTAATCAGTTTGCAAGGAGAGTGTAAGGGTCACATGCACACCACCATGGACGCCTATTAAAGTATATAATTAGCTTACATATACAAAAATAGATTTACAAAGATTCATTTGTAGAAAAGGGGACATTGGCTGCACAGAGGAACGTTATAGACATGTCTGTGTAGGACCTATGCCAACGTTTCAGGCCTCTTCATTTCAAGCTGATCTGTAGGTTTTAGTTTAATTTCACCTTGCAAACCAATGGGAATTTCCTGCTGGAATAAAGTCTTTAAGTAGAGATTGCGATTACAGCAAAGAATGTAACTGCTATTTAAGAGGTTAAAGCAGGCAGATGTTTTGGACTACACCTCCCATGATCCTTTGCCAGCATTATGGGGGTAAGAGCATTATGGGGGATGTAGTCTACAACATCTGGAGTGCCAAAGGTTGTCTACCCCTGGGTTAAAGAGTAACAACAGATTTTGCTGGAGAAACTCAACTTCATTTATCATTCCTTCGTAAAACCATCACTCAGTTACATTTACATAATATGTACATCTTTACAATATATGTATATACATGTGTACAGTGCTAACTCCACTGAATGTCACTGAAAATATTCAGTTTACAGATTACTGACTTCATATAGGCTCTTTTTGATCAACAGTGGTGTTGGGGTTTTAAAAAACCCATCATTACTATTGATAGGATGATTGGAAATTTGTCAATCACTGAAAGATTCTACAAGTCATGTGTTCATTCCAGCTATTTTAGCTTAACATTTCAAATTCACTTTGAATTCAGACAATGCACACTATCGTGAATAGCTATGTCTGTTTAGTGAATACATATATCGTAGGGGCTTATTCACTAAGCCATGACTTATAGCAAAGTAAAGCCCATAATGGGACCAAAATAGCCAAGCTATGACGTTTGTTGAGTTGGAGACTTTTTATAAATCATATATATAATCATAACACATCATATAAAATTTCGCCTTCCAAATTTGAATGTGCTGCAATTCAGAGTTTAACCCCTTAAGGACACATGACATGTATGGCATGTCATGATTCCCTTTTATTCCAGAAGTTTGGTCCTTAAGGGGTTAATTAATAAGCCCATTTGAACAGTATCTCTATTATGTCGTTCTAGCTAAATTAACAGACCAGTACTGTGTTTGGAAACTGCTGCTTATAATACCCCTTTATTCAGTAAGATATTGTGTGTGATCTAAACCAAGAATTGTATCTTTGTGATTTCCAAGTGGACATTGTGCTATATGTGACATTTTACTATAGTAAGACATGAGTTCTGTCCTGGGTGGACCTAACCATTTGTTTCAATGTTTCAAGAGCAAATCTGTGTCTATGTTTGCTAAATAATACAGCTATCACTAGAAACGTTACACTTACACTTTCTGTAAGAGGCTTATTTATTAAACAGTCTTTTCATTGTATCGGAAAGTTAAAAGTGGTTTGGGGCCAAATGAATTAAACTACAAAGAAATCTTAAGTTTGACTGAAATGGACAATGTTTGGCTCAACATATATTCTTAACAAACCACAACATGCAGTTTAGTGAATCAACCCCTAAAAAATGGATTGGTTTCTCTAAAGTAATGCAGGATATGCGGACACTGTATTGATCTGAGAATTGACTTAGAAGCCAAAAAAAAGTTACATTTAAATCACATCCTCCAAATCTCCAGAGTTTTAGCCTAAACATAGTATGTCTGTTTCAAGTGATCACAATTTACTCAATAAACCCCAACATTTCAATGAAACATATAGAAAATTCAAACATATTGTGTGCTAATGGGCGAGCGGGGAAATTAAACAACCGTATTTATTAATTCTTAACATAATTAAGAAGAAGAAGAAGTATTGTGATGCATAGAGCAGGTCCCTTATGCACAGAGTTAAACCTGTATTGTCTAAAGCTTAAAATAAATGTGTTGAAGAACCTGTCAGTGGCACAGGATAGTGTAAACAAGAAAGAGGCAATTGGATTCTATTACAGTGTGTGCTATGGTGGGATCAGGAGGGGCACCTTACTGTGACCTATCTCTAATGTACATAGTATCAGAAGCACACTATTAGCATTGGGGCAGGGGAATGGGCTTCCTAGTGTGATGTTGACCAGGGCAGCATTAATATTCCTACTAGTCCAAGCTGCCTCCAGCAAGCCTCCTCCTCCCAGGGGAGTACAGTTTTTACTATTACTGTCACCTAGCCTTTACTCCCTTTTGCCCTTTTATCTATTACAAGTAATTCGAGCTTCCCCTGCCCTTTTCAATGGGAGACACGGCTTTCTGCAAAGCCTACTCCTGCCACTAAGATCACAAGGTACAGATCCTTTCTAAATTGAGGGGTTTACTGTCAAAATGAAAATTTCACTTCAAATTATCTTGGCTGATGCAGGTTTTCCAGGCCGGGGGCTCCTCTCTCTGCCTTTTGACAGCCAGATCAACGGAGAGGTTCAGTGATCTCGATAATATCATCCAAGAGAGCGAAAGTCAATACAATGACAGCCTATATGACTGCATACAATCCAATTACAGCTGCCTGTTCAGCAGTGGAAAGAATCTGATCTACTGCTACCAGCTAAACTCTTTAATTGCTAGTCAAAGGTACATTTTAAAATGGTGACATATTCATATTATTGACACAAGTGCCTTGGCTGAAAAATGGGCATGAGTATATTTGTATGTGTGTGTTTGTGTGTATGTGTGTGTGTTTGTGTGTGTGTGTGTTTGTGTGAGAGAGAGAGAGGAGGGTGAGAAAATGAAAGAGTGTGTGTGAGTGAGCTAAGGAGAGAAATAGAGAGTGTGTGAGAGAGATTCTAAGTGAAATAACGAAATAAAGGGATTTTTATTCATATTATATTATATTTCATATAAAACTATTTGATATAAAATGAAAGCCCTGTTTCTCCTGAAAAGAGAGAGAGAGAGTGTGTGTGTATAGAAAGAGACAGAGAGAAAGGACAAATATTCTAGCTCACATCCATATTAATGTGTTAAGATTTTTCAGAAACTAAAAACACGACTGTGTGTCTAATTGGTTTCATATTTAAGATATTGGAAAAGTAGATTGTCTCCAACCATATGAAACAATCTCTCCCTTTCTCTCTCTTCGCTGCACTCTTATTTTAATGTCAGAAACGGTAAACCATCTATCCTGAAGTGTTGAAATATTCATGCAGGTTCATGGAAACCCTACATAAGCACAGATAAGCATTAGCCTCAAAAACGGTGATAAAAGTATCACTTTGGGAGATGGAAAGGCATTGCCAGGCACATCTATTATAGAGGAGGTATGAAGGGCCTGGGTAATGTGAAATACCTCGGTTTTAAACAATGCAATTCCATGTTATATCTATACAATGGAAGTTATGCGAGTGTTTATATGTGTTATCTTCCCTGTGTGATCAAGAAAAATATAATTGGGTGTATCACATTGTTGTATACGTAAAAAGAACGTTGGCTCATTCCAGTGATTCTTTCAGTCACCTGATCCTGTAAGCTTCCCTGTCAATCAGACAAACCGTAGTTTTACCTCTCAAACAATTTATTGTAGGGAACAAATAGGATTTTCAGTAAAGTCTTACATGTGCATTGGTGTAAACTTGGAAGAAGTGCTGTTTGTGATTCACTAACAACAAAACCAGAATGAAGTATCTCGATGACTCATTAACTTAGCATGCTGCTTAAAATTATACCATTAATTTTTTGTTTTTTGTTTTTTGTAAACTTTTTGTAAACCGTAATTACTCCAACACATAAAATAGTTCGTGCTTTTTTTTTTTAGACACTGAATTAAATAATTGTCACAACACAATCTTATAAGAAAAGATAATTTAAACAAAGATGAATGGTAGAACAGAATCTGGAGTAACAGTGTCCACTTAAAGTGAAGTTCTAGGGTCATCAGAACCCAATGTTTTACATGTCTTTTGCTAGAAGTCCATTCTAGCTATTAGGGAACATTTTAACGCGTTAGGAACAGAACATCTTGCTCCCAGATTTTGGGAAGGCAATAAATTCCTTATTTGTGTCATGGGTTAGGTTAGCCACTTGTCCTTTGATCATATTGGTTGGATTTCCAATAGAACGTCCTAAAGACCCATTTTCGAGAATGGTTCCTTTTGTGGTGGCCCACGAAACAGTGGTGTTGGTGAGTGCTTGGTTTAAAGTACTATGTCTGAATAATGGGTCATGAAATACTCCATCCACCCAATTTCTCAGGCTGGTTACAGGAGAATCCTGACGTCTGTCAATCACACAAACTGGAGTGGACACAGCAGAAGAAGAAGAAGAGGAGGAGGAAGAAGGAGAAGATACTCCCTGGTGCTTTAGCATGCAAGAAGGGTACTCCGTTTGATTTAAAGAGGTGGCTGTGTGAGCTAAGGACCATATTCTTGGTTTGGAATCCAGCATTTGCTGGTCCTGCTGTTGGAAGCACAATTTGGATTCACATCCCCTTTGCCTTGTTCTCATCAAGTCTTGCTCACAATCATCAACAACACTTTTGAGGCAGTTCTTAGCCCTGTCCAGTTCTTGGTCTACTGTAGAGGCTGAGAGAGGCATCTTCAGAGTGACCTCTTTGCAGTGGTCATTGGAACAATCCCTTGATCTCATTGGGAGTCCTTCCTGGGACTGATGGTGGAACGGCTGCTTCAACTCACACTCAGAACTCTCAGATTCTATGGCATCAAAGTCGTCTAAATCACTCAGTTCCAGGTCTTTGTGCTCCCTCACCGCGCTCTCTTCTGCTCAAAATAAACAAAATATATATTAACTTATTGACAACTGTACAGGAAAATACGGAGGCCCAAAATTACTGAAATGTTAATATAGAATATCTAAAGCAGGTTCCCTTCCCTAGACCTCTGCAAATCAACTAAGAAGTGTAAATTTTATACCTTACCACACAGTGGTTTATTTCATACTAATTTGCTATCTAACTTTCCATTTGCACCATGTAGCAGAATAATGACATTGCAAATTACTTAATAGCAAGAGTTTGCCAATCAGTATGTATTACATCATTCCAGAAAACGATGTCGTAATAGTTCCACAGCGTTTCAAAGGACTGTTGCATGATGCTCAAATTACAATCCACCTTCAAGACCCCAAATGTAAACTCATGTCCCTTGCAAAAACAGTATGTATGCCTCATTGTAAATATTTTAAAGGTACAGACCATCCATTTTCTTCTCGTTTTTGATGTGGCCTTTCTGAGACTCTTCATCTTCCTCTTCGTCATCCTCGTCATAGGGTCTCTTTTCGTCGGAGCACTTGTTCCTTGGTGGCCAGGTCATCTTGTTCTCCTTCTTGAGCCTCCTCCTGGCATTGGCAAACCAGGTGGAGACCTGAGTGAGGGTCATTTTGGTGATGATGGCCAACATGATCTTCTCCCCCTTGGTGGGGTAAGGGTTCTTCCTGTGTTCCTGCAGCCAGGCCTTCAATGTGCTGGTGGTTTCTCGAGTTGCATTCTTCCTACGAGTGCCTCCATCCATTGTACCATACCTAGGGTTAAAACAGGCAATAGTTATTAATTCTGGTAAGCCTTTTCTGGACCATTTTTTATTTGGAGACCTAGAGTAGAAACCACAAATAATTACATTGTGTCATTTGATTAGAGAAATATTTCATATTGAAAATAATGTAACATGCAGGTAGTGCACCCATATACACGTGCTCTATGTTGGAGAATGCTTACTGGCTTAGATGGAATATTAGAAGCCAGTGTTTAGAGAATAAATTTGAATGACCTAAGGCTATCAGTGTTAATATAAATATTTTTCACAGCGTTCCTTTATTAGCCATCTCTCAGGCTTTTGTTGATGAAATTGTAAGAAACGTATAAAGACAGTGGATTGCAACTGAATATTTAATGCACAGCACACTGAAAGGTCAATGGTACCCATGTGGTCTTAAAAAAAGGTTGAAATTGCTTAAGTGGTTTTGTGCTGTCTTAAGAATAAATACAGGAGGCAAGGTAAAACCGCTTTAAATCCTTCAGGGCTAGGGTGGGGGCTGTGCAGAGCATTGCACATCTCCAGAAAAAAAAGATAGTCTGTGCATAAAAATATAATATATATTTCACCTAACTAATAGGAGCATTAGATGGAAGGTGATACAGAGTTAAAGTGCCATGCATCTCATACTAGTTTTATGCACTATTCCCCTGACATTAACCACGTAAGCTCTTAATGCTTGAAGTAAGAGGAGCTCAATACACTGTAAAAGTCGTGCAATTAGGAGATTTCTTGGGAGCAAATGGAGCCATCTTTAACATTTAATACAATCTAGCAGGTCATGAAATAAATATGAAATATAAGTAGCAGATTCGTGATGTGCTTGAAGAAGAAAAAGTGGAATCATTTACTTATTATCTTGAAAACAAAGCTGGCCAGGCCTAATATTTTGCTTTAAGACACTGAATGTAATATCTTTCTATACGTGCACAGAACACACACACATAGAGAGACATGTAGGGGTCCATTAATTAAACAGTAAGGTGTAGTCATGTGACTTTCAAAAATGAGTCCAAGCAAACCTAATTGGACAAAAACATTTCTTTCGTATACTTAGAGTTATCTCCTGTGTATTGTCTAGGTTATTCAAGGTTGTAAGTTTAAGATAAGTCACTAGTTAGTAAACAAACTCTTGTGGGGGTATTATCAGGTTTTGGGTTAATAAAATAAAAGGAATTATGGATGAAAAAGTTCTGTAAGTTAGCACTAGGTATGATTCATTACTCGGAGGGAAGTTTCCAAGTTACAGTGTGATCTATCTCTCTTGCTCATAAAATGCAAG